CCGGCACAGGGAGGGGTGAGCAGACTAGCGTTGTGTGAGGAGAATCTGGTATTTGTGGCTTTGGGGAGAGAGCTGAAGAGACAGCTGCCAGGAGCCCTGTGTAGAGTCATTCTGCCATAACACAGAGACCATCTTTCTTGGGTGAAGCACTCCCATGTATGTGGCAACAGTCTGGAGAATAGCAATGGCCTTTTCCCTCTGGACTTCCTTTCACCCCTGTGAAAACTTGTGCCCTGTTGACAAGTACAGCCAGAGGCCCTTTCAGTGAGTGAGCCTAACTGGCAGCCAGCAGGTGGAGGCAGGCAGAGGCAGATATCGAGGTGCCGTGGGACTTGTGCTGACCAGCACTGTGCCTGTTGCTGGTAATAGTCAGCTTTGGTGCATAGATTGGTCCTTCCCATGTGCACCCAGGTCCAGCAGAGGCAGCCACAAACTGTGGATGACTTGTTTCTTCAAACAGGTTGCCCAGGGCCAGTCAAATGCAGCCTCTGACATTGGACTGCACCAGAGTCTGTTCCAAAAGGCCCGGAACAAACGCCTCCAGGATCCAGCTTCAGACAACATCAGGGAAGAATCCAATAAGCTTCCCAAGCATCATATCCAGTGGGAGATCTCTGCAGGAACCTAATGCCATTGAGTCAAGTTCCACTTCATGTGGTCCGTGCATGTGTAGCAGCTTACACTCCATGGTCCAGCCTGAGCCTCACAGTCAACCAGCCTGAGGGGTGATGCCATGCATGAATATGCCAATAACAATCAAAACTCAATTATTACAAGAGAGCACACAGAACTTATCAAAAAAAAGATATCCTGGGCCATTCATGTCAGGTGATCAAGGAGACTGCACCATTGGACACTGTAGGACACCTGCTACAAAAGGACATTTCGTGATGACTGGGAGTCATAGCATATCTATCTAATACATAGAAACAAACACAAAGAGGCTGCCAAAATGGGGATACAAAGAAGCAGGCCCCAAATGTAAGAAAAGAAGGAATATCCAGAAAAAGAGGATAATGAAATGGAATTCAATGTGATGGTTATAATGATGCTCAACAGCATGAGAAAGGACATAGAAACCATAAAACAAGCCAGTCAGAAATGAAGAATACAGTATCTGAAATGAAAATATACTGGAAGTAATAAACAATAGGTTGGATGAAGCACTGGATCTAATAAGCTATGATGGCAACTGGGAGAACTGTATGAGGTCCCAACGGGCCTACTCTAATGGGAGCTGAGGCATCGTTGTCCTAGGTACAATGTTTCTTGTATCTTGTATCTTCTTCAATAAATGTTTCTATTTTTCATATTACATGGCTAGATAATTTCTGGATATATATGTATAGTTTCTTTCTCTCTCCCCAAAGAAGGAGAGATTTATTACAAGGTGTTGGTTCACCTGACTGTGAAGGTGAAGGACTTCCTTGATATGCTGCCTGTGAGCTGTACTCAGAACAGGAAAGCTGGTGGTAGTATGATTTGAAGACCTTCACGCCAGATTATTGATGTCAGAGATGCCATTTGGAGTCCAAAGCCTTGTGTACCAGGAGTGCCGAGGTCAGAAGTCACAATGTTCCAGCTCAAGCTGTGAGGCAGAGAGCATTTCAACCTTCTTCTGCCTTTCTCTTTCACTCAAGCCCTCAGCGGGTCAGGTGAGGTTCATTCACATTGGGAAGGGCCATTAGCTCTACCCAGTTCACCAGTTCAAACAGTGTATCTCCTGGAAACATCCTCAGGGACACACCCAGAAATTATATTTAACCAGTTATCTGGACACCCTGTGGCTCCCTCATAATCTTATGCTGACACATAAGATTAACCATTGCAGGTGGTGATAATAAGAGGTATTTTAAAAAAACACACCATTATTGATTTTTTAAATTAAATAAAATTACATTAGCTCCCTGTATTTCATGTGTTCATTCCAATGGCATAATTGATTTTATGTCAAAGGGTTTATATTTCTCTTCTGTGAGCTGTTTGCATGAGGCAGCAGCAAATTAGACTGGTAGGGCTGTGCTGTGGTGGGGACTTGAGCACGAGTGGCATTGCCTTTCCTTCCTGTTATCTTACACAGTGAATCCTTCCTGGGATTTGAAGTCTCAAGTAAAGCCAAGTAGGTGGCAGCCACACTGCTAGAAACTTTGATATATGATAAAAACATGAGGATTATTCATGAAGTTCTAGGCCCAGATAATGATAAATAGGTTTATCTTCTCTGTGAATGTCTGATGGGACATTCCAAAGTCATGAGAGACAATTGATCTTTGTTTGGGATTGTCCTGAATTTCCAGAACATCTAGCATCCCTGGTTATAATCTCTAAATGTCCTTTGTGAGTTGTCACTTCTCCCATTCCCTGTGACAAACAATAACGTGTTCATAAACTTCCCAGAAATCACACTGTGGTTGGTGAAAGGATAAAGCCAGTGCCACTTGCTACTGTGGCACCATTTGCTGAGCAGGCCCGTGACCTTGTTAAACATGACTGCTTTCTTACTCTTCTGAGCTTTTGTCCCCAGGACCCGAACATGACTGGAAAAGCAAGAGCAAAATGTGACTAACCACCTCCCAAAGCTGCAGGCAAAAAAGATATCATTGGAGCAAACTGCAGCTTCTGCAAAACTACCTGAAACCTCCTGTGTGCAGCACCCCCAACAGCCCAGGGTCCAGATAACAGCAACTCCCCATTTTATAAAATCCAATTACAATCCAATTAAAACTCAAAGCCCCACCCCTCATTGCTTGTTTATCTCTCCACCCCATGCCCCTTTCCACTCTTGGAAAGTGAATAAAAACTTTGCTTTCTGCATTTCTTCCCTTTGTGAATTCCTTCATACCTCACATCATCACCCAATCTAACATTTTGGTGGCCCGAATGGGGATTTCTCTATTTCTTCTTCTCCCTCACCTCCGATAATTACCCTTAGGGGAGCAGGGGGCCATGGAAGCTCAGCCCAGGCTAACGCCCAAACCCTGTCCCTGCAAGGTTTGGAAAGAGGCTTCTAATCCTTTTCCATCTCTTTGGACTCTGCGGACAGCCTTCTCCTCACTCCCTACATGGCCAGCAATTGGTAAGTCTCTCTGAATCTTGGGACAAAAACATTCCCATTGTTCAGAGTGATAGCTAGCGCCTGTCATATTGTTCTAAACCCTGGTACTAGGACTATCACTTTTCCAGGGTTTTGGCTGTGAGGGATGTCTCCCACTGTCTCCCTGCTGGGATTGGTCTGTTCTTGGACTCAGGGATGCCTTGCTCTGAACAGATGTTTGTGGTTCAGTCTGCTCTCTGGCTAAGGGATGCCTGGCTCTGAGGCAGATCTTCATTGTTGGTCTGCTGTCAGGCTCAGGGATGCTCAACGCTGGCAGCACATCTCTAGGTCATTTGAGTTGGGGATGCTCTCTTTAAACTCCCCCCAACACTGTTTGTTCAGGTCCCTGAAATATCCTTCCCTTTCTTATTTATTTTTCCTTTTCTTTTTTGTAGTTCTCATCATGGGCAATTCTCAATCAACCTTCCCAATGACTCTCCATTGGGATGTCTACTTAAGAACTTGAAGGCTCTAGGACTTACTGACCTCAAGCCCAAGTGCTTGCTTTTCTCTTGCAACATGGCCTGGCCTCAATACAAACTGGATGACCAGGAAGGCTGGCCCATGAATGGACCTCTTAACTATAATACTATCCACCAACTTAACCTTTACTGTCGCTGTCTTGATCCCTTATTGAGGGTTAGTTCTCAAGAGTAGGAGGTAAGATTTTAAACTTCAGCAGGGATTCCAGACCTCTTTCTCCTAACTATGTCTTTTCATTTAAATTTGCCTCCATCATAATTGTTTTCCTCTTTTCCATGACCATTCTATTTCCATCTCTTCCAACCCACCCCCCCATGCATGTCTATCTTACTGCAGAATATGCTGCATTTGTTTTCCAGCTGAATGGCACTTAAAGCCATGCTTTTTTTAAAGCTGTCACAGTTATAATTTGTCTTTTTCTTTTTATATTTTATTTATTTTTTAAATTTTATTGTTGTTCAAATACAGTTGTCTGCATTTTTCCCCAACCATTCCCCCCACCACCAGCCATCTCCAACTCCCTTCCCTGATTCCACCCCCCACATCGGTTTTGTCCGTGTGTCCTTTATAGTTGTTCCTGAAATCCTTTCCCTGCTTTCCCCTCACCCTCCCCTCCTACCTCCCTTCTGGTTACTGTCAGATTGTTCTTAATTTCCAGAGTAACTACCTTGCCCCCACCACCTCCAAAGTCATAGCCAGGCTTCTGCAGTAAAGAAAAATTTGTTGGCACTTGGACTTTAGAGATAATTGCTATAATCTGATGGTTCATAATATTTTGGAAGTCAATTGGCCATTTCAGATAACAATATTTAAATTAATGAGTAAAAATATAGAAGATGCCGACATAGACATTTCTCTTAGAATTGATCCTTACCCTTTTGTATATAAAGATATACTATTATTAATAAAGATATACATTATTAATGTCATAATTTGGAAGATATATTAGGACAATGTTCTTGAGTACTTCTGCATCAGTGGTAACAGTATAAAAAAGTGATGATGTTAGTGGATGACTTACTGTCTCCAAAGGTCTTCCTAATACTGCAGTTTCTTATTGCACTAACAAAAAACAAACAAACAAAAAAAAAAATGAAACCAACACTATCTCCTTTAATGACCCAACAAATGTTGATTCCTCAACCAGGCTACTTCTCTACTTTCCCTGTCACTTCCAGAAATAAATCATTTCCCTCTTTGTTCTCTTTACACATCCTCACATTTTGCTTTGTGTTAGAGAAAGGTGGTTGCATATGGTTCTCCCTTGTGAGACAGAAGGGCCTTGAAATCAAACACTTTGTGTTTTCACTCATGTTCATCCTTCTCCTGCCATGTACAGAGCCTTGAACATATCACATGCTCAGTTCATATTTATTCACTGAGTGAATGATTGAAAGAATGAAGCTTGGGTTGTCAGGACATTTATTCCTCTAACTCCTAAGCCCACGCAGGGGGGCACATGAATACGTGACACAACGTCCCCACAAGTGACTGCCCTAGGGAGAACCCCTTTGCTAAAATCTACTAGAAGTCCCCATTTCCTTCTTAATAGAGACACAGCACAAATTACAAGGCTGAAGAAAATGAAGTACAGAGTGCCTACAGTTGGAGAGACATGTTCCTTAGTTTGACAGGGAAGGAAGGAGCTGACTTTCAGAAGCCCAGAAATGGCAAGTCTTCTTTTGGTGCCAGTGAACTATTCTTCTGGAACCTTTAGCTTAATTGGGAGTCCTGCACCACATGGGAATAAGCAGGTGGTAAGTTCACTGGTTCTGGATTGGTTGCTGGGTTTGCCACGTAGACAGTTTGGTAGACCACAGTCCCCTGGAAAAGACAGACATAGGGGGTGCTCTGGTGAGATCCAGGCATACATAAAGACCTTTAGACCAATGGTCCCCAACCTTTTTGGCACCAGGGACCAACTTCGTGGAAGACAATTTTTCCACAGACGGAAGGTGGTGGGGGTCGGGGGCAGGAGTCAGAATTTGGTGGTAATTCAAGCGAAGCTTCACTTGATCACCTGCCACTCACTTCCTGTTGTGAGGCCCAGTTGCTAACGGGCCAAGGATCAGCACCAATCCACTGGCCCAGGGGTTATGGACTCTTGCTTTTAGGCATTCCTAGCTTCCCCTGCTCCTGGGCAGGAAGGGGAAGCCTAGATCCCTCTAGTCTTTACCTTCTTTGAGGCATTTTTCCACCCACTGAGGATCTTTGGACTCACATTAGAGACCAGTTGGCAGCCAAAGTGGACACATGTGGAGGCAATGCAGAGCTCCAGGAGGCTGAAGATGACCTGCACACCAGAAGTAGCACTGCCAGCGATCTGAAATGAGAACTAACTGGAAGGTTATCAGTGCTGCTCCAGGGGTCCAAGGTAGCCTCAAAATGTGGTTCCAAAATGGACTGTGGCTATGGCTTTGAGGAAGTATTATAACCGCGTCTTAGTCTCGTGCAGAAAATATCTGACCAGATTTGGTGAAGGTCAAGTGTTTGTAAAAAAGTTTTTTAACACTACCAGTGTTCTTGTAAGGAAAAGAAGGGTCTTCGTTTCAGGCAACACCTTAATACCTTATTTCAGGCACAGGGGACAAGACCTAAGAATGTGGCCTGGAGTCAGACAGTGAGAGAGTGAAACTGTTTTGTGTAGGAAGTGAATAGAAATTTGGGAGCATGGACAAGCAGCGGGGAGGAAAGTGAGAGGGTTAGAGAAGAAAGACAGGACTGAGCCACAGGATGGGAGGTAGAACCTGCAGACAAAGGATGTGGTATGTGAAGGATGTGTCATCTTCAGCCTTCAGTAGTTGCCTGGGCTCAGATGTAAACCTCCACCATCCCTCTGAACCTTTAGGGAAAGTGAGCCAGTGAAACAACCTTCCTGGCTTCTGACAGTGTCATTTTGTGGAGTGAAATAATTCAGGCTGTCTTGAATTTAGGAAGGAAGTCAGTTCAAAGACCCCCAAGCTGAACTAGTTCAGCAGTAGTAGAGTTCACCTGAGGAGCAGGAGACATCTCAGCCCTTCCCTGCTCTTCTCCAAGAATGCCCAGGAGAATAGGGTCTGTTTCTGTATCTGGGGAGAGAGTTAGGGTAGAATCCACTTTAATCCTAAAAGAACAAGGGATGAATAATCCCAATAATCATTTAGATTCCAATTATAGGAGAGAATAAATATGAAAGTGAAAGTGACTGATACAGGATAGGTACCAAACAAAGGTTTTTTTATTATGATTTCTAAAATGGCGTGCTTGACAGCTAGCTGCTCAGAGAATCATCTCTTTTGGAGACACCTTCCTTAGCACTTTCCTTCTTTTCCCCCTACATTTAGGGCATTTATTAAATATCTATTTGGTATAAGGTGCTAAGAAAGCACCCCAAGAAGCACAGTCTGATGAGGGAGGTAGATACAGATATAGAAAATTATAATTTACACCAGACACAGTAAGCAATATTAAAAAGCCAAAAAATTTTCCTCAAGCACTGGAGGTATAGAGATCCATGCTTAGGACAAGATTTAGAGACAGTTATATAGGACAGGGTGTCCAGGCAGAGGGAAATGCAGGGTGATGATGTCTTAGTCAAAGAATCACAGAAGCCTCGGGAGCAGAGGTTTTCACAAATGATGTCGGTCCATTTCAAATGTGTTTTCAACAACAAAATTCTTTCATAAATAAAACTTTCTAATGGGAGAAGGGTTGGGGAATGGGTGAAAATGATGAAGGGATGAAAAAATACAAATTGGCAGTTATAAAATTAGTCACAGGGAGGTAAATTAAAGTACAGCATAGGGAACCTAGTCAATAATATTGTAATAACTATGTGTGGTGTCATACAGGTACTGGACTTCTTTTAAGGATTTTCATGCAGAGAGGGCCAGAGACATGGAGTGGTAATTGCAGTAACTGAAAGTTAATCTGTTTGTTTCTGAAGATGAAGAAAACAGAAGCATGTATAGAGGAAATGCTGATGAAAAGCTCTAGCAAAGGGGGGGAAATTGATGTAGAAGAGAGGTGGGGCAAGGAAGAGGGGAGAAGCACTAGCAGTGATAACCTTGAGTGGGTGGGGAGGACAGGGCCATAGTGGAGAGGGAGTCATTGAGTTTTCATGGAACTCATCTGTAGCCACACTTTCTAATCCGATAGCCACGAGTCTTCCAAGGGCTTGAGATGTGATGTAAATGCAAAACACACACTGGATTTCAAAGATGTGGCACCCAAAATGCAAAATATTGAAATAATACTTTTCTTACACAGATTACATATTGGAAGATTTTCAAATCTGTTGGGTTAAGTGAATGTATTCTTAAAATTAATTCCACCCATTACTTTTTCATTTTATAATGTGGCAACTTGAAAATTTAAAATCACAGCCATAGCTTACATTATATTTCTGTTGGACAGCTATGGTCTACAACTTGAGATGGCTCATTCATTTACGCATTTTCTATGTCTGCTTTCACACAGGCTTGAGTTTGCAACACAGATCAGATGGTCTGCAAAGCCTTAAATATTCACCTTCTGGTCCTGTACAGAAGACCTTTGATGACCCCTTTGTCTATAGTAATGGGCAGGAAGGTGAGCCTGTGAGTAGACGTGCAGGTTGGTGAGTACCTGTGTGTTACATGTAGAACTGCATTTAATTCTCTCAACAGTGTCAAAAGGTAGGTACTGATTTATAAACATAGAAACTAAGACTAAGAAAAGTCACATGCTTAGAGTAACACAGCAATAAAGCTCCAGGTCAGGGACTTTAAATTCTGTTCTAATTCTGACAGCATCTCTGTTTGCGGTAGTGCCTGGTGAAGAGCTTGGTGGTCAGTGCCTTTCCAGGGATTTTCTAAACACAACTGATATGGATCCAGGGGAGTGTTGGTCAAGAGGGATACTCACCACTTCCAAATTGTAGTAGAAACTATGTGGGTTGATACAGATATCTGTGACAAAGAGACAGATTCCCACCACAGAAAAGATCACACTGAGGATGTTCATGCCCAAGCTGCCCTTCAGCTGAAGAAGACACAGAGGGTCAGGGTGGGAGAGGAAAATGATTATAGCTGAGATGAGCAGAGTCTCAATAAGTGTTTCCTAATGTGAATTCCATGAACCCTAGTTCTGCAGCAAGTAAAGAGGTGTTCTGTGCAAAAAGTTTGTGGGTAAATGGGGACTGAAAAAACCTGAATTGAACAAAGTTAAACAGGTTTGATGTGCAAGACTTTTCAGAGTCTTTAACGAAAACTCTTTATTTCCCAGAGATAGGACTATTAACTAGGGATTTTTTGCCCCCAATTTACCTAGCAATCTCCATTAAGTTTCTTGTGGGACAAGTACCCCAAGGATAACATTTGGGAAACACTTGACCCATTTATCCCCTGGGAGATAGGCAGAAGATTCAGCCCCAGTGTCTTAGGATGTGACAGTCTCTGATGCTCCACAAACATGGGCCAAGAGTAGAAAGGTCAGGCCAAAACTGAGCTTCCCTTTGGAGATTTTCAAATAGAACTTATGTGGTGTGTGACCTGACCACTCTGGGGCCCCTTGCCCTATATAACCTGCTGTGAGAGAAATAAAAGTACTTTCTTGGTTCATTGCTAGGTGACCACAAGGCCTTGTCCATGTTGATTGGACAGAACTTGGTTGGTTAGATTCCTGGGAAGCTGCTGCCTGAGCCTCCCCTGGCTTCCCTATAGAAGTGTCTGGAGGTCAGCTCTGTGCACTGCAGGCAGTCTCAGTGCCCTGCTCTGCTGGAGGGAGCCCTGTGCCCCAGGAAGCTTTTTGCCTCCTCCTGTAAGATTCTCTTTGGAGAGTTACTCTCTGTGTCTCCACACCCTGACACCTCAACAAAGATGTCCGTATTTCCCTTCCTTCCTCTAAATCTCCTGGACTCTTTCCCACTTATGACTTGGCCAAGTTGGTATGGTCCTGCATGTGGGTATGAGTGACCATGCATGTCAGTGACCTGTGTCTGGTTATGAGTAGGTGTATGGATGGAGGAGGGATTGTGTGTTAGCTTCTTTCCTTTGTAGTGTGTCCCTGCTATTGGTCCACAGCTGGGAGAGCCTGTATCAGGATGTGACTTACCAGGCAAGGAGATTTTGGCTGCTGTTCTGATGCCACTGAGAGGGATCCTGAAATGATGAACTGGCACAGAAGAGGGAGTTTAAAAAGAGGTCAGAGGTCAGAGCCCCCCCCTTCAGCCTCCTGTGATTCCTATCACACACATATTCTCTCACACATGCTAGGTTCCTCTGCTGGGTCCTCCAGCTCAATATGGGGAAAAGAATGAAAGAATGAGTGAATGAGCTGCACAAAACAAGAGCACATAGAGTGGGATAAATATAGATTTTAGGATACAGCAGACATCGTTTTAAATTCTAATGTGAAAATCATGTGATTTTGGGTAAGTTATTTTTTCAATATTTCCTCATCCAAAAATTGGGAAAAACTTTATATCTTCCTAAATGTCATTGTCAAAGGGTATATTGTCCTTTGAGTCTGGCATTTATTATGGTTGCTTATGGTTGATCCTGTACACAGTAGACAGTCAAGAAGTTGCCTCTTTTCTGTCTTTTGTTGCCTCATATGCATATTGTGTTGGCCTCCTAAGAGGAGTCAGTCAGACATGGGCACTCTGGTGGGGAGAGTGAAGTTCCTTGAATTTTCACTGCTTTTACACGTAAGCCCAACACCATTCCTACATGTCTACAATTGTCTACCATGTCTACAATTTGGTGAGTCCCTTTTATTTACTCAGAAACATTGCATCTCCACAGTTCTGAACGTCATATATAAGGGTGATGGGGTACATTGTGTGCATTTATTTCAGCACTCATGTTCTGCAGTCAAAGTGGCTGATGGGATTCCCTACAATCACTGAGGGTCTGAGAGGGCATTGGCTAGCATTTAATAAAAGCTTTGTTTAACAAAATCCAAGATTGTGGGGGAGTAAGTGGAAGTTACACTAACCTCCTTCCAGGATAAATCTGAAATTACAACTAATTGTTGAGAAATCATCCTAACCAATTGAACACTAGCTGGCAAGAAGCCTCATAACCACACACAGACCAAAGAAACCATTTCACCATGATGAGACTGGTAAGGAATGCAGAGGTGTTGCGCGTGGGTCACCGGCCAGCAGTGACCATGGAACGCTGTGGATGGCTTGACGATAAACACGCGAGAAAAAACAACACATGCACAGAGACAGACTAGTTTCTGTGGGGAAGTAGGGACAGAATGGCCACCCCCCCTAGTGGGGAGCGTGCTGATTTACCATCCATACCTGCTTTTATTGGGATCATTTTGCATAATAATTCAGGTAAAGTACAGTACTCATTAGGGGAAGTAAGGAACTATAGAAAACAAAGAACTCTGCCGGTCTATTGAGTTGGGGTCAAAGAGCTGTAAGACTGAGGAACAAAATAACTTCCTCCTAAGACCCTTCTCATTCAACTGAGAGCATTCTAAACAAAGAAGCTTTCACAGTAATTTACATATTCTTTCTTAGGCCTGATCACCCTGGGGAATCCGCACTTCTCAGTACCGAGCTGCACCACCCTGTCATTGTTTCAGGCTTAGGTGGAGCAAGGGAACTAAGGCAACCGAGAGATAAGGAGATTTTCTTCCAGACGCTGAGAACTCAGGCTATGTCAAAGCCAAGGAGCGAGGGTCCATCACCCCCCTTTTGCTGCAGCCCCCCAAGTCCTTCTTTTGGGGGGCCTCCCAAAAGTGATCGTGCCTGTCTTAGGTCATTCCCCCCGTGGGGAATCTTACCCGTCTTTGGCTAACCGACCAAGCTTTTTGGGGTTCAGTTATGAATAAAGCAGCAGAAGCAGCATTCCTGCCAGGAAGATAAGCTTTTATCTCCTTGCCAGCTTACGGTTCCAAGGGCGTTCCCTTAGCCTTAGCTAGGCGGGGGTTTCAGCCTCTGATACCAGTCAGGGCGGTTCCCAACACAGAGGAGGTGTGAGAAGACTGTCTGGGTTCCCATGGGTGGCAGTTGAAGTTTCAGAGGGACATTTCAGAAGGTGGAGTGTCCCCCCTGAAAAGTGTGGGGTCTAAACCCCAAGCTGGGCTCCACAGCCTATAACCCCAGAGCCAGAAAGGAACTCAGATAATATCCAGCTGTGAAAAGCAGCAGGATTTCTGTCTGCCAGGGTGAGATGCCTGGATACTCAGAGAGCCTCTTAAAGAGCTAACACACAGATTTTCATTTGCAGCCACTTACCCTGGGCTCCAGCAAAGGCAGGGCAGAGTGGCCTAGAGACAGTTGAGGATAGGCTGGGGTTGATGGCTCTGGGGACAGAACTGAAGAAACAGGATCCCCGTGCTGAGTCATTCATCATATTGCAGAACCCATCTTCCTCAGGCAGAGCACTGCTCTCTGAATGGCATCAGCCTGAGGGGAAGCAGTAGCCCCACCCACAGGAATTACTCTGTCCCACACTGTGGAACTTAAGCCAGGCTTCAGATTACAGTTTGAGGTTATAGCATTGATTCATTCAACAACTAAGGTGAACAGGCCTCTAGGAGCTCGCAGCTGACCCTCCTCAAGGCCCAGTACTGATAAAAGCTAGGCTTGGTGTGCTGCCTGGTTCTTTCTGCACACAAACAGGCCCAGCACACAAACTGTGGATTGCTGATAGCTCCAAATAGGTTGTCCAGGGTCAGTCACAAGCAGTCTGACAAAGGCCTACACCAGAGTCTTTGCAGATCTAACTCTTACACAGGGAAAAATGTAAAGAAGCAGCCAAAATGGGAAAACAAAGAAACAGGCCACAAATGAAAGAATAAAGGAATTCTCTAGGAGAAGAGCTAGATGAAATGGAAGCAAGCAATTTATCAGATAGAATTTAGAGTAATGATTACTAGGATTCTAAACAGCATGAAAAAAGACAGAAGCCATAAAAAAGGACTAGTCAGAAATAAATAATGTGCTAGAAGGAAGAAACAGTAGGTTAGATGAAGCTGAGGACTGAATCAATGATTTAGAAGACAAGGTAGAAAAAAACACGCAGACAGAGCAGCAATAAGAAAAAAGCATTTTAAAAAATGAGGAGAACTTGAGACATTTTGAACAACATGAAGTGTAACAACATCCACATCATGGGAATAGCAGAAGCAGAAGAGAGCGAGCAAGGGATCAAGAACCTATTAGAAGAGATAATGACAGAAAACTTCCCTATCTGGTGAAGGAAAAAGACACACAAGTCCAGGAAGCATAGAGAGTCCCAAATAAGTTGGACCCAAAGAGGTCTACACCAAGACACATCATAATTAAAATAACAAGGCTTAAAGACAAGGACAGAATCCTAAAAGCCATAAGAGAAAAGCAGTCAGTTACATATAAGGGAGCACCAATTAGACTATCATCTGATTTCTCAACAGAAACATTTCAGGCCAGAAAAGACTGGCATGGAACATTTCAGGTGTTAAAAATAAGGACCTACAACCAAGGCTACTTTACTCAGTAAGGCTATCATTTAAAATTGAAGGAGCAATAAAGAGCTTCCCAGACAAGAAAAAGCTGAAGGAGTTTGTTAACACCAAACTAGTACTGCAACAAATGTTAAAGGGCTTGCTTTAAGAAGAAGAAGAAAAAGAAAGAAAAAAAACAGAGGAAAACAAGCTAACAATAAAATGGTACTAAATATATATCTGTCATTAATCACATTCACTGTAAATGTCTTAAATGCTCCAACCAAAAGACATAGGGTACCTGAATGGATAAGAAAACAAGACACACACATATATGCCGTGCCTAAGAAGCCCATCTCAAATTAAAAGATGCACACAGACTAAAAGTGAAGGGATCCAAAAAGATATTTCATACAAGTGAAAACTTTATAAAAGTTAGGGTAGTGATACTTATATCTGACAAAATAGACTTTAAAACCAAGGCTATAGTAAGAGACAAAGAAGGACACTACATAATGATAAAGAGAACAATGCAACAAGAGGATATAACCTCCATAAATATTTATGCACTCAACATAGGAGCACCTAAATATGTAAAGAAAATCTTGGTGGGCATAATGGGAGAGATTGACAGAAATACAGTCCTAGTCAGGGATTTTAACACTCCATTGACTTCAGTGGGTGTTTCTTCCACACAGATCAACAAGAAGACACCAGTATTAGAGGACATACTAGATCACGTGGATTTAATTAGAATCTTCAGAGCATTTCACCCCAAGGCAGCAGAATATACATACTTTTCAAGTGCACATGAAACATTTTTTAGGGTAAACCACGTTAGGACACAAAACAAGTCTCAATAATTTTAAGAAGATTGAAATTATATCAAGCATCTTCTTTGACCACAATGTTATGAAACTAGAAATCAATCGCAAGAAGAACGGTGAAAAACACACAAAGACATGAAAGCTAAATAACTTATTAAACAACAAATAGGTCACCAATGAAATCAAGGAAGAAATGAAAAGATAACTCATAATAACTGAAAATGAGGGCACAACAATCCAAAATCTGTGGGACACTGGGAAAGCAATCCTAAGAGAGATATTCATAGCATTATAGGCCTGTCTAAAAAAAAAAAAAAACAAGAAAAAGCTCAAATGAACAATTTAACTTCACACTGAAAGGAACGTGAAAAAGGACAACAAAGCCCTAAGTGAGTAGAAGGAAGGAAATAAGAAAGGTCAGAGCAGAAATTAATGAAATAGATTCTTAAAAAAATACAAAATATCAATGAATCCAAGAGCTGTTTCTTTGAAAAGATAAACCAGATTGACAAACCTTTAGCTGGACTCATCAAGAAAGAAGAGAGAAGACCCAAGTAAATAAAATCAGACATGAAAGAGGGGAAATAACGACTGACATTAAAGAAATACAAAGAATTGTAAGAAAGTATTATGAACAACTATCTGCCAATAAACTGGACAATCTGAACAAAATGGATAATTAATTCCTAGCAACATACAATCTTTTCAAACTAAATCAGGAAGAATCAGAGAATGTGAATAGACAGATTACACCTAGTGAAACTGAAGCAGTAATAAAAAAATCCCAACAAACAAATTCCCTGGATGGAAGGCTTCACAGGTGAATTTTACTAAATATTCCAAGAAGAATAACACTTCTCCTTCTCAAACTATTTTATAAAATTCAAGAGGAGGGTTAGCTCCCATACAGATTTTATTAGGCTAGTATTACCCTAATTCAAAAACCAGATAAAGACATTACAAAAAAAGAAAATTATAAGCCAATATCCGTGATGGACATAGATGCTAAAGTCATCAATAAAATATTAGTAAACTGAATGCAACAATTGCAAAAGGATTATATACTGTGGCCAAGTGACATTTATTCTGGTGATGCAAGGTTGGTGCAACATTCGCAAATCAATAAATGTGACTCACCACATAAATAAAATGAACAAAAACCAGTGATTGTATCAGTAGATGCAGAAAAAGCATTTGATAAAATCCATCACCCACTTATGATAAAATGGGGTGTTGGAGATCACCCTGAGAATGTGATAAAAACTATGGGCTTTTCCAGAAAAAAGTAATCATCTAATATACCAAATGTTTTGCTAAAAGTGTGGTTTTGAGGCCATCTGTGGACACCAGGTTGAGTCCCCTCTTCTTGAGAGCTTGTTTGGAGGTTCTATTGGGGGAGCGCAGCTACTCATATACCCTTGACTGAAAACCGGTCCTCTCCTCTAGTTGGGAAAGTTGTCTTTTTCTGCTGAGTGGATAGCTCCGGGAGCAATGCACATAGATTGGTGAGAGAGGAAGGGGCCACCTGCCTAGCCAGCCAGATCAGCTGAATCAACCCTGGTAATCAGTGGGGTGGCAGATGTCACAGCCAGATCGCCCTCACATCCTGAGTCCCCGTTTCTTAATGACTCTTCTGTGGTTGGGCATCCACTTTCAACAAGTGGTGGAAATGGTTCTCTGCTGGAGCTTGGGCTGGGGGCCTGCACTGATCAACACTTGAGCCGAGTTCCCAATATGTCATTCTTTGTGTGGATTAGAAAAGATGCTGCCTCTGGGCTGATGATCCAGAGGAAGGTTTCCTGACCTCTGAGGTGGGCTAATCAGGAAAGGTGCCCAGTCTGGGTCCATTGAGCCTTACAGGGCTATCACTTGGTGTTATGAGCTGAATTGCATGCCCTCAAAATTCAAGGGCTTTTGAAGCCCTAACCACCCCCACCTCAGAATGTGACTGTAGGGATGGTTCCAGATGCATGATGGTTGGACTTATGATTCTGTTGACTTTACAATGGTGTGAAAATTATATGCCTTCAGTAGAAACTGTTCTTTAGGTTTTGAATTTTGATCTTTTCCTGGGTGAGCGGAATGGAGTGGGATACTCTCTTGTGATGGGGGACAGCAGCAGCCAGCCACAGCTCCCTGTCAGGAGAGTGACCACAGGATTAACAATCCGTACACTGCAGTGCAGAATTGGATGCATTTTTTACTTAGGAGGTGTTTAATTGATGGTGGATTTATTGGGATGTAACCCCATCCTACACTAAAGAGCACCTGTATTTGAGGATAGGACCTTTAAAGAGTTGATGAACATTAAATGAGGTCACATGGCCGGGCCCTAATCCAATGACAGGTGTTCTTATAAGAAGACACATTAGGGCATAGACCCACACAGACCATGTGAAGACACAGGGAGGAAGACGACCCTCTACAAGCCAAGGAGAGAGGCATCAGAAGAAACTACCCTGCTGACACCTCCATCTAGGACTTGTAGTCTCAGAAACTGTGAGATAATAAATGTCTGCTGTTGAGCCTCCCAGTCTGTGGTATTTGTTCTGGCTGCACAAGCAGATTAACGTTCCTAGTGAACAAGACCTGAGCTGGGTTCACTTGCTCTCTTGCTCCCACATGTTCTCTTGCCTGGAAAACTCCTGAAGCAAAGAACACAGCTCGACAAGGTGGCCCTGAGTGTGTTGGCAGTCTCTGGAACTCACTTGCAGGGTGACTGTCATTACTTACCGAGATACCACCCCAGAAGGGAACGCCTCCGTAGAATGAGACACATATATAGTACCCAGGCAGCATGGTCCCCATGATGATCCCGAGGCCAATGTATATCAGCCCAATCAGGATCTGGAGGGCCTGTCAGGGGAGCCACAATCTGAGTCCTTTGTTTCTGAGGGTGGAATCTACCCCTTTTCCCCACTTTGTAAATCATTTAAATTTATTATTATTTTTTGTTTCTTTTTATTTTAATAAATATTTAATTTTCTTGGTTAAAATAATTTGGAAAATATAAAATTAAAATAGAAATGTCTCATAATTTTCCCCCACTTGGAAAAAAACAACACTTAAATTTTGAATCTGGGAAGCCTGGATTAGAATCCATACATGTCGATCATTCAGCTGTGCGATAAAATGGGCCTCCCAGTGCCCTACCCAGGACTGCCTCTTAGGCAGAAAATCAAAGTGAGTTTTTACTTTGTTGTCAATGAGCAAAGATTTCATTTAAGCAACTTGGGTTTTGACTCCCCCTTGTGGCTCATTCACTGTCCTCAGTTTCTTCCAAAGGCCCGTGGGTTAACATGAATTCTAGCAATGGAACCAACTTTCTAATTTTCGGCTTCCTTTTTGCTTTTCTTTCTGTTTCCTAAAATGCCTAAGTCAGAAAGTACAAGGCCCCATACTGAGGCACTGGTGATGCTCCACAGCTGAGCTTCTTAATAGACCTGAGTTTGCCAAGCCGGGGTCAACTCCAGCCCAGCTTGCTGGATTTGAAGTTTCTGTATTTCCAACCCCCCTCCCTTTACTGACTCCAGCCACATGGCCCCCAGCCTGCAGTGTGATTCTCACTTACCCCTAAGGTTTTGCCCTCTTTAAAGGTTCTCTGGGCTGGTTGAACATTCACACGCCCACATTGGTTTCCAGAAGTTAGGACTTGTGCCTGGTTGAATGCATACTGGAGCACTTGAGATGTGCTCCTCAGGTTTACAGAATGTGTATGTTGGGGTGCCGCCTCCATCACAATATAAGCCATTGGGCCTGCTGAAGTCTCTGAATTCATGCTTCTAAAAAAATGCAATACAATCATCTTTCACGTGTGCATTCATGCTTATGTTGAAAAAGAACTTTTGCTTTCATTGACACATCATTTGAACATCACAACCCTCTATAAATTTATTCATTCAGTTTTAAGGATATTGCATAGCAGTTAGAGGGCACTTTCTCACTCAGTGCTTTACAAATACATCACCTTGAATCCTTACACCTGCCCAGTTATATAGGTGAGAAAACTAAGGGGCAAAGAGTCTCAGCACTACAGAGGGCAAGGGCTACATCTTTCTGATTTTTGTATCACTCACTATGCTTAGCATTGTGTTTTTCATGCAATGGCATGTCAAAATTTCAGAGCTGGAGATTCTCTTAGAGACCATTGAGTCCAATTCTCTCGATTTCTGAAGAAGGAAACTAAGGTTGGTAGCATGGACATAAATTCTCCAAGGTCCAAGTTATATAAATATTTGTTAAATGGACTCATCATCCTTCAAGGAAGCCCATTCCCAGCATAGAGTAATTCAGGTCAATTGTGAATTCTATAGGTTTAAAAATTCCTTTTCTTTCTTCTTGAAAGAAATATAAAATAAAATATATAAAATATATGACACAAATTAAGTTTAATTTCCCATACTTATTCTACTATATATTAATTTGATACAGATCTCATATGTTTCAGGCATAAAATTTACAGAAAAAGTTAAAGTTAATTGTAGACTTCTGGGCAAGATGGCACAGATATACATAGCTTGCTTCCTTGCACAACTGCATCAAAATTACAACTAATCTGTAGAACAACCATTAGTCAAAAACATCAGAAATTGAGCTGAATGGAAGTCCTACAACTCTGGAATTAAAGAAAAAAAACCACATTGAGTCTGGTAGGAAGGGCAGAGATGTGGAACAGGCTAGTTCCACACCCACGTGTGGTGGATAAAATACAGGAGGGATATCTCAGGAGCAATGAGTCACAGCCCCACACTAGGCCCCTAATCACAGGGTTCCAGTGCCAGGAAGGTAAGTCTCCATAACCCCTGACTATAAAACCAGCTTATTAAGGCCTGGAAGAGAGAAACTTCTGGACTCCCAGGCAATTCCTCTTAAAGGGGAATTGCATATACTATGCATAGTAGTCTATGCATAGACTACTCAAACTCACCCCCTCTGAGCTCCAGTGCTGGGGAAGCAGCTTGAAAGGCATCAGAAACATACAGGGAGGAGCTAAATTGTCTAGCATCAGAGAGAGAGCTAGGGGACAGCTTTCTCTCAGACAGAAGTGCTGGCAGAGACCGTTTTTCCTTTTCTGAGACCTCCCCCTACAGAGCCACAGAGCCAGTGAGCCACAGAGTGAGCAGGCAGGCACAATATCTGACACAACATCAACAAGGCTCAAACTGTTTGTCCTACCCTAGGGATTCCTTGAGGCCCTACTCCACTCATATTGTAGGCCCACTCAAACTGTTTCCAGTGGCTTTTCCATACATCTTGTATTGGCCTATGCTTCAGATTTTCCTAAATTTTCACAAACAAGCAGCCTATGGCTTCAGTGAGCCCTGTGTCTCTTGCTAAGGTACCCCATAACTGGCACTAGGAACAGCCAGCCTTTGTTCACAGCTTGGCCTCTCCTGGGCCCCTCCAAGACCAGCATATGTAGCAGCCATTGGTGGATCTCTTTGTAGTTAATGCTATGTGACCCAGGATAGAATGCAGGTGGTGGCTGACTTTGGATATGCCAACAACAATCAAAGGTCAACTACAAGAGCAAGGTATATACAGCCCATACAGAGGGAGCACCTTGAGCACCCAACTTGGATAATAGGACAGGCTGTGTCACTGGACCCTTCTGGATGCCAACTACAGTAAGCCATTCTATTAAGCCTGGGAGCTGTATTAGCTCTACCTAATGCATAGAAACAAACACAAGGAGGCTGCCAAAGTGAGAGACAAAGAGACATCCCAAATGAAAGAACAGAGCACCACCTAGGCTCTCTCCTGTTGCTTCTTCTACCCTAACCCTTCATTTGTTTCACTGTCCCCAGCTTTAATAAAGGTACTCTCAGAATAAATTAGACCCATGTTGTGAAATCTTTCCTGCAACAAGATCAAGAAACCACACACTATTGGCAGGTGTCAGGCATAAATGCTCTGAGTCTGATCCAATACTGGTGACAAATTTTAAGTCTAATTTGGCAGAAAATCTTACCAGCGTCCCTGAGTTACCTATGGAAATCATTAGATTAAATATACTCACTTCATTTTGCCTTCAGCAAAGACTCTCTTTATCCTCTTCCCCAGTGCTTCGTGGTGGGCAACTTTTTTTCCCAGAAGGACAATGCACAGAGTCTTTTGGGTAATATGTTTAGAAAGATCTAAAACAAAATCCTTCTGGTAAAGACAGGGCAGTTTACCAGCTGCATAGAGCTGAATTTTTACTCCCTGTAATAGGCAAGGAACCAATTAAATGAGTTTAATTGGGTAAGAATTTACTGGTATCTGTGTGGAGAAGGAAGAGTCATATTTGGTGGGATTTCACAGAAATGAACTTCGCACTCAGGGGTGATGTGCATAGCTCTGTGATGTAACAAATGCCTTAGCAGAGAATAGGAACCCATTCATGAACACACACTTATTGGCTTTCCTCTCTCCACATATCACTTTTCTATTTTCTCACAGTATCCAAATCCATTGGGCAGTGCCTGTTTTTGTGGGAACCTAAAACAAGACACCCACTATCTTGGTTTTAGAAAAATCTGGCAACAATAAGAGAATAAGAGACTAAAGACTGAAGTAGATACAGAAGCTGTATATCTAATTTAACCTCCTCATCCACCAAATGATGCCCATGGATCTTGTATGTCATCCCAGCCAGTTCTGGGCACTTCCAGGAGTGGGGAACTGCTTCTACTCTGGGTTCTCTTGTTAGAGAAAGGTAGCATATGGATTATTATCCCCTACTCACCTAGAGAGGACTGAGCGTTTCCTTCCGATTCAGTACCTGTACACAGATCCCGCTTCTCTGGGCATAAGGATGGCTTACACAGACTTCTGTGCATATAGTATCCTCTGAGATCCTGGAGGAAAACAGAGGGCAGTTTTAATATCTTTCATTAAAGATAGATTAGTGAAGGATGTATTTAGAGAAATGTGGGAAGATCATGGTGACCAAAAGCACTGTTGACACACCTGGGAACCAGTAATACAGAGAAGCTTTTCCTCTTAGATGTAAGAGACAAGAAGCATGAACCCTGTTACTATAGCAAGCAGCCAGCATGAGCTGCAGCCAAGAATGTGAGCTGCCTGATAGGAGCTGAGGTCTTAGAAAGGAGACTTCAGCAAAGGGATGGTGAACTCTCACTTCTCTCTCCTCCTGACTTCCCCTTTCATTGGCTGAACCACCAGCAGGATCAGCACACAGGTGTGTGGGTGATGCCATCCACACAGGCTACAGAGCACAGGTTTGCTTCTGCTCTTGAGAACTTTGGGATATTGTTCTATCACCTGGCATCTCTCTATATCCTGTTCACATTTTGTAAGAGGGTCTGGCATTCAATGTCCCTCAAATTATCCTTTTGAATGTTTCATCTCAGCTTTCCCAGTTGCCTGACTCATACAGCAGAAAATGGATCTGGGTGGGCAAGTGGAGTTTTGTTTCCTTCTTTGGTCTCCCTCACCAGCACCCAGTGGATGCACATGTGACATCTATGACTATTTTTAATTTTATAGAAAAACCTAAAAGTCTTGTGGAAGAAATGGGGCTACATATCAACCTGACAAGCTCAGGGGAGGCCTGTGTGTCAGCCTTACACACTCAGAGACCTAAAGTAACCACAAAGGATGGTCTGAAATTAAAACTTATTAACTAAAAGCAGTCATGGCACGTAGTCACATCCTATGCAGGTATCTCTCCCTAACAAAGCTCAATTGTCACCTTAATAGAGCCTGTCTGTTGTCTTTTTGAAGCTAAGATAACATTCCTTTGGAATGTCAAGATAATTTTTTTCCAAATCCCTCAGGGCACAATATTCCAGCAGAGCAGAGATCTGTGGAGCCCCTTATTGTTATCTTGCTCTCCTGAATACAATCTTGATGTACTGTAAATGTTCACTGTTAGCTATTGTATTCCCACCAATATAAAAGAAGCATGTGGCTCTCTGTTTGACTTTTTATCCAATTCCAGATATTTCCTTACTTTGCTTTCTTCCACCTCCCCAATCTATCACCAATGGATTTCATGTAACCAATCCCTTACGTCTCCTCCTGTAACAGGATAGTAAAAAGCTAGGAGAATTCCTGGGCTAGTGGAATAGGGAAACTGAGACAAGAAAATTAAACAAGGCCAAACAGTTTGAGCTATTTATAGCCATCTAGTAAACTGCAAGACCTTATCTCCCTTAACCAAGGACACTTGAGAATTAATGGTTTATAGCTCTCCTACCTAACCAAAGACTACATAACCTCTCTGGCCACAAACCACAGGTGTTCAGAGAAGAGAGGAATTCTAATGCAAACACGAGAACAAAGGGAGCCAGCTCAGGAAGAAGCTGAGAGACTTCTCCACAGTTTCCCCCTCCCAAGAGAAACAGCAAGTCTGTGCACTTCCTCAGAATGTCCCCCTCCCAAGTTCCTATGTATCCTCTATGTAAACTTGGTTCTGCACTTTTATTAATATCAGAGGCCAGCAGTCTGAGGAGGTAGCATGTTACACGTTACACCTCTGATATTAATAAAAGTGCAATTATAATCCAATCCCTGTCTCTGCTTTTTGTCTGCTCAGTGACAGGCAGCACAAGTCCTGGTCTCAGTTGCCCTCTGGTTTTAATTCTGGTGAAGCTGGTGGAATAGACTTTGAGACTCTTTGGTAAATCTGGATATTTGACTCCAATGGGGAGTCCCATTGGATGCCTGGACTGGGGGACCTTGAGGTGCAAATTTGGACACTTCCTAGCTGCCAAGTGATTTTTACTTGGGGGCTCTTCTTCTTTGACTCTTGGCTCTCTGGGCACCTCCTGTCACCTTCACTTTTCAGTAAGGAATTTGATTTGTGCTTAGAAAGGCCATCTGGTTTGTGGCTTTTGGCCATCTGGTGGTTTACAGACAAAACCTGGGCTTTTCTCAAACAAATATCTGGTAAACGTTTTTTTTCTGGTGGGTCAGTGGACTCCAAACTTGCAAACTGGATCAGGTACTGGTGTGCGCGACCAGGAGCTCCTGCCCCGCCACCCTCAGGGGTTGGCAGCACTCTGTGAAAAATCCCAGTTTTCCCTGGTGTGGGATTTGGTTGGAGCACTCTTCTGGCTTTGGTATATGGATTTTGTGCGTTGTCTTATTTTTCTTCTTCTTTTAATTAATTGTCTATTGGTTTTGTTTCTCTGTTGCTCCGTGGGAGAAAGTCAGTCTCTGAGAACTCTCCTTTGTTTCTCTCATCTGCCTAAAATGAAAGTTGGTGTGAGATAAAATCCTCAGGTTAGTCCCAGTTTGAACTTTATCTTTTGTTTTTAGATTTGGTTTTTGTTTCATTTGGAAAAGTAGTGGCTTGGTCTCAATCCCACTAAGAGTCCATTAGGTCACATGTTAGCTAAATAGTCAATTTACCACTCTAAGTCAGTGACTAGCTTTGCCAAAGATTTGGGAAATAGAATAAGATCTCTTATGTGCAAGCTTTATGTTGTTACTGCATAAGGATTCTACTCAGAAAGTATTTAAATTAATGGTTTGAAGAGGGAGAAGATATCACTCCCTTCCCAGACCGTAAAACTCAGAAAAAAGGAAAATGGGGAAATAAGTGTTTTAAATACTCTAAATCCTCCTGGGGGGCCTGGGAGCTACTGAAGTCCTGGGAACAGTAGGGCAATTAATGCTACTCCTCAAACTCTTGGTTGTGGAAGCAGCAGGGATGGCTGCCTCTCCTCAATGTGGAGAAAAAAATGACACTTTTAAGCTCAGCTGGTTTTCTGCCTGAGGCTGATAGCTGCCCTGCCTCACCTGCAGTGGCCTTAAAGTTGTCAAGGACAAAATAAGAACTATTTCAAATGTTTTTTTTTAGGACCATGTGGTTTGGATAAATATTTGATATTAAAGCTGGTTTAAGTTTAATATCTTTTGAAGTTATTAACATAAAATATAATATGTATTTGTTTTGCCTGGGTTTGCAGGAATAAGTTCATTTATTTATCTCTGTTACAAAATTTGTCAATAAGAGGGCCTGGGTAATAATTGACTTTAAAATATCAATCAATAAATAAAATAAAGTTAAAAACTAGTGAATAGACATCACTAAAATAAAGAGATTTGATAATAATTAGGTATATACCTAAACATAATTTTCTGAAGTGTTTGATGGCTTGGAACTTTGGGTTTTGCTGGGTTAAATGGTGAAAATAATTAAATATCTAGGTATTTCAAAATAACAGGATATTGAAATATTAATTGATCTGAGTTTGCCTTCTTTGGCTTCTTATTACAGAGAAGCTAGAAAATGGATTTAGCTCTATTAATGAATATATCTTGTAGTTTATTTGAAATGTACCTCTTGAACGTATGTGTTCGCAAATGAAAAACCTTTTTTTCTAGAAGTATCCATCTAAGGAATGTGACTTACTTACCTTTAATTGTCACTAAAAATCAACTTCTAGAAATTAAGAGTTCTAGTTAAGTTGGAAAGAAATGTAATGGTTTGGTAATGAAAGGTCTAAGGTATGCAGATACTCACTGAAGATAAAGACTGTGAGTTGCAGGGGGTCTGTGTAAGTTGAAAGTTTTTGAAGAAGGATCTTGAGAGGAAATTATATAGGTAAGCTGAATAATACATTTAATTAAATAAATGAATCTAAATGTCAAAAGTAAGCTGATAAAGAATTTGTTTGGTTCTTTTTCAGTCTCTTGAAAGGGAAAAAAGTTTTTTTCTGTTAGAAAGCCAAGGTTCTATTTTTTTTAACTATGCATTATATTGTGCTAATCAGGTACTTGATTACTCAAACAACCATGTTTTTTATTGTAAGAACTGAAATTTGCTATCCTGTATTTATGTTTAATACCTTTATTGTCATTTTGGGTAAATAAATAATTTAATGTTGTTTCATAGTAATATACAATCTTTTGGTCAAGTATAATTGACAGCCTCTCCAAGGTTTAAATTTTAAGAGACTTTACTTGACCTAAAATTGTCTTTGGATCATCCCGATGGATCCCTGGAATGCCTTGAGGATTTGTTCTTTCTTCTCATTAAGAAAAAATTTCGAACTAATTAGGCCTATCTGTTATGCTCAAAGTACATTAAGTGTATTCTATTTGCATACATATATTTTTATTATTAAAGTAGATGTTCTAGAGATTATTTAAAAATCTCTAAAATTCTACAAGATTCTGATTTACTTTCATTTATAATTTTAGTTGTTATCTTAAAATACTGTTTCAGAAAAATGATTTCCTCTGTCAGTTGCATTATAATCAAATCTGTAACCATGTGACTCTAAGGTTTGTCTGTTTTGTTTTGTTTTTTGTCATTTGGAGACAGTCATTGTTTTACTCTAATGCATTTGCAAAAATATATTACATTTTTGGAAAAGTTTATACAAAAGACTCTGACATACTCTAGATTACAAGTTTCAAAGCAGGTCACAAGGGACAAGGAGGAAAGAATAAACAAATGTGATCTCATCAAAATAAAAAGCTTGTGCATGGCTAAAAAAACAGCATTACAATGAAAAGAGAACCATCTGTATGGGAAAACATATTTACCAATGATACCTCAGACAAGGGTTCAATCTCCAAAATATATAAAGAAATCACATGACTCCACTCCAGGAAGATAAACAACCCAATTAAAAAGTGGGCAAAAGACTTAAACAGACACTTCTCCAAGGAGGACATACAGAGGGCCCAGAGACATAAGAAAAGATGCTCAGGCCCCCGGCTGGCATAGCTCAGTGGATTGAGTGTGGGCTGCGAACCAAAGCATTGCAGATTCGATTCCCAGTCAGGGCACATGCCTGGGTTGCAGGCCACAGCCCCCAGCAACCACACATTGATGTTTCTCTCTCTCTCTCTTTCTCCCTTTCTTCCCTCTCTAAAAATAAATAAATAGAATCTTAAAAAAAGAAGGATATATAATAAAAAAGAAAAGATGCTCAGCATCACTAGCCATCAGAGAGATGCAAATTAAAACCACAATGAGATACCACTTCACACTGGTCAGAAAGCGATCATAAACAAATCAACAAACAAGTGTGGAGTAACAAGAGGATGTGGAGAAAAGGGAGCCCTGGTACACTGTTA